GACTGCCGATCAGACTTTAAAGGCTCTGATAGTGTTATCCGGGCAACATTTTTAACGATACCACGACCATTCAAATAATTATTACCCTAGCACCGAAACTGTCTTTCTTGTACCTAAAAATAACAAGAAGTTTTACTTTCCAGAGTCAGCGTCAAAGTCAGTTACTTTACGACTGGCTGTTTACCGCCAATCAATTGTCTTTGGGTCAAGGCCCTTGAGACCCACGACCAGAGATTTTTTCAACTGAACTCTTGGGGTAGTAGTTCTTTATGTAACATCCTCTCTGACGAGAAGATGGTTTTGTCTCTTATGAATATGCTTGGCCTTTCGTCAAGTACACATTTCGCACATATATCATGTTATTGAAAAATCTTCCTTTTGAACTACTCACTCCGTCCTCCGTCAGTACAGACTTTACAGAACAGATCATGCCTATCTTACGTATCCCTTACTTTCCTTTCACTACATTTTGGGTATTTGATACGACACTAACCGCATAGAAAGCATCGCGTCCAACTGTTCTACTGTTGCATGTGTATTCGTTGCTTCGTAAAAGTGTTTACTAGGCCGTTGCTTAGCAATGGCCATCTCTTCTTGCTCCACTATTCTGGCTTGTTAGGTGGGAACAGACACATAGACAGCATGGTGATTTCATAAGCCTCCTTTAACTTTTTTTTTTCAAAATAAGGAATGTAGCCTAAATATGCACGTAACTAAACTATTGAAATAAACCGAGTTCAGGACATCCTCCTCTCGGTGAGGAATAATTTATACTCTACAGCTACTGTTCTATGGCGTGTTTGTGCTTGGTACCCACTGAAAGTTACACGAATATCTGGACCCAATAAGAACAGATCTTGAAAATGCACGCGTTAATTTTTTACATATACAAATGACCAACGATCATATTTTTGTCATACATTTCTAAGAGAATTCTAAACAAAATCACATTCACAAATCACAGTTTTCAAAGGAAATGGTGAACGTAGGAATCTGGTACCACAAACAACCTGATTTGGTATCCCTGGGGCACCGATACCAGTTTCAGAATTGCTACTGTACACCTAATAATAGAATGATTCACTCCTGTCATTTTCTACATATACCTAACGTTCGGGAATTTACAAATACAAAACTCAGGTCATCCGACTATCATAACTGAGACTATTTCGTGATTTTCCTCAATAAATCCCTTACACGTATCTCCCAACGCATCATTCATAAGCAACCTGTCTTACTGCGCTGCTAAATATGGAAATAATCGCTTTGTTAATACATCTTTCTAGAGAAACTATGGCAAAAGAACCCATGCCTGTTGAATAATGCTGTAGAGTGTCCTGAATTAATTCAAAATCTGTGATGAATTTCTCTACAGTAATGTGACAATGGCTTTGAAAACTCCAACACAGAGACCAACCGGCTGGCTTCCTATGACTTCACACACGCAAGCACTAAGCTCTGCACAATTTATCGTGGTGCTACTTTCAAACACGAAGGAAGGACTACGAAATCGATTTTCTTGGATTCAGCATATACGGAGTGTAAGCAAGTTTTAAATTAATCATATCAGCATTTTCTGCTTGGAGGGAATGGTGGCAAGTCACATGCATGCAATAACCAGATTTCCCCTCCCGACCTGCTGAACACACTGAGCCAACAGAACTTCCAGCTGAAACAAGACCTTGCCACACATTTCTGCGGACAGCACTCAAAAGAATACACCAGAAATGAAAACACAGCAATAAATATGCTTGACTGAATTCTTATTAAATACACAGAATTGCGCCGTTTTTGGGCTTTCTTCATCGTCCGGTATTCTAGAAAATAGAAAACACGACGTTTCGGAAACTGGATCTGGGGGGGGGGGAAGACACCTACTCAGTTGGGCCCCTTAGAAAGAGCTAATCTCAATCACTGGACAACCCTGTAAGATTTGCACAGCCCAACTGAGTAGGTGTGCCCCCCTCCTTCAACTGAGGACCGAAACAGATTCAGTTTCTGAAACGTCGTGTTTTATATTTTCTAGAATACTGGACGATGGAAAAAGTCCAAAGAACCCAATAATTCTGCGTTATACACCATCGTCAGAACTCTTTCGAATCTTATTAAATACTGAACGTAATATTGAAAATATACATACAATGACGCCAGAACAGGAAATACAAAAATACGACTGGACTTCGAAAAGTAATATAAATATACAATTCTTCAAACTGCAGTATTATAAAATCTGTAATTTCTTTCAACTGAAATAATGTTTTCCCCGCACAAAACTTCTTGGGAGGGGAGAAGCCAACTTAAAATCAGTTGTTTTTTTTTTACTGCTAGTGGGGTGGGACTAAGTCTCTTGTACTGCGGCCACTTCTGGCCTATTGTACCAGCCCCAGATGATAGGTGAGGGTGATTGTGGAGTAATTGGTGTAATGAAGATTGACAGGGGAAACCGAAGTACTAGGAGAAACCCTGCCCCCGCGCCACTTTGTCCACCACAAATCCCACTTGACCAGACCCCGGGATCGAACCCGGGCCGCCGCGGTGGGAAGCCAGCGATTAACCGCTTGAGATATGGCGCGGCCTATAAAATCAGGTTACTCATTATTGATATCGGGTTTTAGTTATTCCACGATGAACATGATTTAAGAGATCAAAACCACTTTGGTCTAGGAACGACCACACTGTATGATGTACAGCGGAGACCCATAAGGTCTATCCCCCGTAAGGCGAAGTGCTGTATCAGTATGAACACATTTTTCTACATTGAATGTATAAGGGGTGGTCCTTTTTGGCCCTTGCACCGCGACCACAGAGACCTATTGTGCCTTTTTTTCTACATTACTCGACCCTCTGGCCTACCACCAACCGAAACGTCTTTTAAGGAAACTTTTGTTTTTTACATTAGTCGCCCAACCCTCTGAGACCTGAGAGTTCCTGTACTTACATCAACATCAGGATCAATCAGGTAACAACACGCTAATATGAGTTTCATTATCAACTATAGTAAACCAGTCTTTGAGACGTTACACAAATTCTGTGCTTTGCTACACACAGAAAGAACTTAGAATTATCAAAGAGAAAGACACTAAGAACCGGATAAAAATAAGGCAAATTTACAGTCCAGAAATAGTTTACTGTATGTGTGACGAACTGATCACCGGATATACCTTTTGGCATTATTAACATCCCCAAACGTATTTTCAAATAAACGTGTACATGAAATAATGAAAACAATAAAAATATAAGATAAATATGGGTAAATTTGATCTCAGATTAGGTCTAAACTGATGGCAACTGAATATTTCTTATTTTTGCTGTACATTTTTGGCACGTTTTGAGTGAAATCAAAAGTTTGTAATTAACTACATCCCATTAAATACAAAATGTAAATGTCCTTATGACCAATAGTCGTTGTAAAATGAACAGAACGGCAAGCATGATAAAAGAAAGTAATGTACAGGGTGATCACAAATTATATTACAATGTACTCTGAAGCTATCAGGCAAGACACAACATCGAACATTAAACTACAAGTGTGAAAGTCTATTTTACCACGCAGAAGTGATCGGCACTTGCACTATTACGTAGTAACCCCATACGTATCAAATTGGTATTCCAGTCTCGCCCATATATTTTGCAACAAAAAGAACTATGCATTTGCATAAACAACCTGCCTCACAGAACTGTTTACGAATTTCAAAAAGGGGTGGTTTCGAAGGTCAATTCTCTCCGAATTCCGTCACAGAGTGTCGCTGGATTGGTTTCACATGTTTTATTTTACTGAACCACAAGATACACTTCACACTTTGCAGAGGTATCACCATTTTCTACACTGCAGTGACCCTGGCGGCAAATCACTGCAACTACATGTGCATACTTTGATGCAAGTAACACCTTGCCTCGCTGTTTCACAATAAATTTCAGAAATTGTAATGATCATATACGCTAACCCTACAAAAACGAATTTATCACATATACCAAGCTTTGCATTAATAAAACAGACAGTAAGGGTCTCTTCTGCCGGTCACGGTAGCCGAGCGGTCTAAGGCATGCACTGTCTTCGCTCGCTCGCAAGCCGAAATCGTGGGTTCGAATCCCACTCAGGGCATGGATGTTTGTGTGCGTTTTTCTGTGTTTGTCTAGAGGTTGAGGCCTTGCGACGAGCTGATCACTCGCCAAAGGAGTTCTACCGTATGTGTAAGATCTAGAAAAACCGAAGTGAACGGAGAAGCTCATGGAGGTAGGCCTAGGCCCACTGGGGCTGTAGTGCCAAGGAAAAAAAAGGATCTGTTCTACGTAAATTAGGCCTGTAGCGAATTACTTAAGAACAGGAATAAAGAAAAGGCCAGCAGTGTTAAGTTGATAACCCACTGACGCGACTAGCCGCTCTTTGTCGCGCGCGTCCGTTAGTTGTATTAGTGTATATGGTGCATAACTCACTAAAGGTGTGATTCGCAAGAAGCGTTTGGAGCCGTGCGATTCTGCCGCACGACTCAAGCCGCAGCGGCTGTACGATTGAACCATTCCTAAGACGCGGCTGTAATCGGGTGGATTGGTATAATTACTTCCCGACAGTGAGAGAGACACACATGGATAAAAGCGGTGTTCTTCGTCTACTGATGCTCGAAGAGGAGGAAGACGATGAAATTTTACATCTGATATTGAGCGAGAATGGTGGAAGTAGATCTGTGCATGACCTGTTCAAAGCAAGAGCGGAGGAGGAATTAAATTCCATCCTAATTAATAGGCACCTAATGAAGGGTGAAAGAAAATTTCGTGAATTTTTTAGACTGAATATACAGCAGTTCAATTACGTGTTGAAGTTGGTGGAAGACAAAATCAGGTGTCAATCTTGCAACAGGGTCAGACATCCGATAACACCTGCACAGAAGTTAGCAGTAACATTAAGGTAGGCGTAATAACAGCAACAGTATATTTACTTACTCAGTTTATTAAATGAAACCTTATTTTAAAAATATAATTGTTACATATTTATAATTATTTTCACTTCATTATATGTAAATAGTATGCAAGTTTCACATCATATCACATGTTAAACTATGTTTGTTTAAATATCATAGTTTTTAAGTCACTAGTAAAAAAAATACAAAGACAATTTTGAAGTAGAGAGCAGCCTTTGCAATTGCTCTATTTACGAATTTCATTATTCCAAATTCTGTATAAATGTGTACTCTAACAGTGACTGGCTCTGGCTCCCTGAAGCCTCTGAAATAGAAGAATCGAGTGAAGTGGTCGATGGTGATGGTTGGGACATCTGAAGCGACCTAAATTCCAACTCCGATACAACGTTAAGAATCTTCATCTTGGCTTCTGAAATCATAAATGGCGGTAAATTTCTTACTAACATGGCCATATATTTGAAGAAAGCTTCAATTTCATCCTCAGCAGCTTTGTTTGAATCTGAATTGTTAGTAAGGGTTTGAGTAATTTTGTTCCATTCATTAGATCTTTGTTGACGAAATTTTAAAATACTTTCTCCCACTTTTCTTCTCTTTGTAGTAGGAGTTTTCCCCCTTTTTACAGATGTTTTCTCTTTAGAAGTAGTTGAGGCTGGTGAATGCTGACTGTCCTGACTGTCTGATTGTTCAGCAGTTTCGGGAATGGACTGCTTTTGTACCTCAGTACTCTGCACAGGCATATTGGAAATGTGACGTGATTCATAACTATCATCATCATCATCAAGATTCACATTAGATGTAGTTGGCCTGGGAGAAAACAGCGTTGCAGTACTGTTATCTTCTTCTTACTCATCTAGTGGAATGCTGGATAGAGATCTGCGAATAAATTTTCGAATAGTTATAATTACTAACTTTATTGAAACATGCTGACATTGGTTTGTTATAACCTATATTACTTACACTCTTTCATAATGTACAGCATCAAGAAAGGATAACGCATCAGCAAGTGCCCATTTTCTAGGTCAGGACTCTGATGCAGAGCCAGTCACCATTTTCATGTCTTTCTTGTGTTTTTATAGGTGCCCCGCATATTCCTCCACCTCTTTTTGCAGATATCAGCTGAAAACATGATTAAAATATAATTTAACAGGTTGCAAAGTAAAATATTATAGCACACTATATTAATTTCAGGTTTATGGCCACCAGAGAATCCTTCAGATCACTGGAATTTGCATTCCACATATCACAAAGTTACATAAGCCGTATTGTAAAACAAGTTTTGAAAATATTATGCAGAAAGCTACCACCGATTTTGATGCCTCCTCCTAATGAAGATGTACTCCAGGAAAAAACAAAAGAATTTTGGAAACAATGGAATTTTCCCAACTGTTTGATGGAAAACATACAAGCATATTCTGCCCCTCTAAAACCTGATCTCTGTTCTACAATTACAAGGACTTCTTTTCGACTGTGTTGCTTGCTTTTGTTGACGCAAATTACAAGTCTACTGTTGTAGACATAGGTTCGTTTGGTAAGGAGGGAGATAGTGGGAGTCTTGAGAAATCTGCTACAGGAAAAATGTTAAAAAGCGAGAACTTCTTTCCTCCCCCTTCTGCACTACCTAATTCTGACATAATTACACCATATGTAATGGTTTGTGATGATGCTTTTCGTTTAGGAGAACACATGATGAAAGCGTACTCAGGCAAGAGAAGATGCAGAGAAAGCAATATTTAACTACAGGCTTTCACAGGCTAGTAGAATTTCCGAAAACAGCTTCGGTTTATTGAGTCAAGTTCTCGGGGTTTTCTATACGCCTCTCGCCATCAACCCAGAAACATCTCAGATGCTTTAATTATGACAGCCTGCTGCCTACACAATCTTCTCCCTGATGCCTATCTCGAAGATGACAACAGAAACTACTACAATTATGACCCTTCAACGCCTAAACCTACGGAAAACTTTATTCCTTTACCAAGACATGGAGGATATACAAACTTACAGGGATTTGCTGTCAGGGATGATTTAAAAAAATATTTCAATAGTAGACACGGTTCTTTAGCTTGGCAGAACAAAGCAGCTAGAGCAAGTGATACTGTAAATTGAATGCTCAAATAGGAATGTCCATATATGTGTTGACATATATGTAATATTTAATATCTGATTATGAAAAGTAAGACTTATCACTTACCTGTCTTTCCCCATTTTTCTCCAATTTCTGCCCAAATATTTTCACGCACGTTGTGCACTGTATATTACGTGTTTCGGATCATATAAAGCAGAATGCTGTGCCACTAATTCAATTAAAATAATGTCTTCTGTGCTTGAAAATCCCATTGTTGCATCCTCTTGAAGCGATGGGATTCATGCGACTTTGCGGCTACCCTGGTCTTGCAGGCAGTCGACCAGAGCCGCTGCGGCTGAATAATTTCCTACTGCGCATGTGCACACCGCTGCATCGCCCAGCCGCAAGAGACGCTTCTTGCGAATCATACCCTAACGCGGCTCGGCTGCCGAGTCGCTCGCGGCCAATTATTCAACTGCGGTTCACTGGCGACAGTGCTGTCGCGCGCGGCTAGAAAAGTAATTAATCTCAACGGACGAAACTCACTGCCGCGGCCAGTCGTGCGCGGGAAGCCATACCGACACAGGTCATTTGATTTGTATCGATATGACAACGCCCAGGCAGTATGATACGGAGTTGTTCATTTTGGAAATAGAGGGACGACCAGCACTGTGGAACAGCACTTTAAAGGAGTACAGTGATAAAAATTTAAGAAAAGCTATGTGGGAAGAAATAGTGCACAAATTTGGAGAGGAACTTGATCTGGAAGAAAAAAAGAAACTTGGTAAGTATTTATTTGTAGGTGTGTGCATACGCTACATGGCTTTGTAGATGTGAAGTACTTAAATAATGTTTTTGTTTTGCCATAGAACCTGGCCTTCCCCAACAAAATCTCGATAAGACACTGGTCGTCTTGTATTTCTTGTGACATCTCGTGACCTCTGGCGTGATGGAAAATAATGTAGTCTTCATATCCAATGCCATTTCTTGTGCGAATGAAGTTGTGTAACACACAACATGCCTTCACTATGTCGACTGCAATATCAATATGTACATCTAGTGGGCGATGAAAAATTCGCCACATGTTAGCTAAAATGCCGAGGGTGCATTCGATGTATCTTCGAGCACGGCTTAGCCTATAGTTGAATATTTTCTTTTTGTGGATTAAATTGTTGCCGGGATATGGACGCATCAGGTTTTCGCCCACAAAGATGTATGGCATAGGTGTAACATTAGTTGTAGATACTGGACATTTATCTGAGATTTTCAGTTCCTTATTTACAAGTTTATCGTAGATAGGGGAATCTTTGAAAACTGAAGAATCGCTACACTTTCCGTACGCTCACCATCAATGCTGATGAACTTGTAATCTGCATCACAGATAGCAAGTAACACAATAGAAGAAAAAACTCTTGTATAAATATTGTGACATGTTGCGCAACGGAGTATAAATATTGTGACATGTTGCGCAACGGAGAACCCCTCCCTACCCTAAGTTACAATATTTATAATACAGCGATCCGTGTGCGGTGGTTGTTTAAGTCTAACCATCAACAGCACCTAAACAGTTCGGGAATTGTGCACGGTTTTCGAAAGTTTCCGCAATTTTTTTCCATTCCTCTTCTTTATGTTCACGCAAGCAAGTATGTCTTTCACTTTGGTTCATATGGCAGAACAAACCTGCTTTATTAGAGTTCGCACAGTAGTCATCTCAGGTCTGAAATTGTGACTGAACTCGCCAAAACTGCATCTTGTGGCTAGGTACCTGGAAATAAGTTTGATCTGGTTATTTGCAGGTGTACAGCTACAAAAGAAGTGGAAAAACATACGGGACTGTTTTTTCAGAGAAATAAGACGGCTGAAAAATGTACGCAGTGGTGGAGCAGCTCCAAAAAGAAATACTTATATATATTTTGACCAACTTCAATTTCTTAAGGTGCTAACAGAATGTGGCCCAACTGCTTCTAATATTGAGCGTGCTATTGAGCCAAAAGCAGCGGAAATCTCAGAAACTCAATCATCTCAAGCTTACCGTCCCCCTCAAAAGAAAAAACGTACTGATGATGCGGTAGGTATGGAAATGGTGAATGTTTTAAAAGCAAACATTCAATCCAGAGAAGAAAGCGAACGCCATGATTCTGACAAACTATTTTTATTGTCACTGTTGGATGATTTCAAAAAAATACCACATTGTTCCAAAAGTGGTGCAAAAATTGAAATGATCAACTTGGTTCAAAAATATCAACCTCCACTTGCTTCCTCTGCATGCCATTCCCAACATGAGACTTATTCCAAACCACAAAGGGCTGCTTACGACAAAGCTACTGTCCACAGCAAATCACACCATTAACGAGGTTACTACTCCATCTCATATCCAGACAGGCCATCATCAAGCAACTACTATGATCATTCTACTACATCTCCAGATAATATGTCACAAGACTCCGACCACACCGAGTTTTTACTCTGTAAAAGAAGTAAAATAAATTGTGCTTACCTTAAAGTGACCATGAGTTTTTCTTCCGGGCGAATGCTCTGACAAAAATTTGTATCCCTTCCTTCTATTTTGTTCCTGATAAGTTGTAACAACTGGTCGAAAGATTCCACACTCATTCGTGTGTAGGTGGAAAACTTAATGTCATGTTTACGTAAATCACAGTAAAACAAATGGAATGCACCTCTATTGGAACGTTCCAAGAAAATGGGAGGTATCCAATACCATCGAGTTCGTTTTTTGCGACGACGATGACCAAGATGGAATAGTAAACCTGCTATCACTGCAACATCCATTTTGCTATTGATAGACTCTTGCCGCGCCTAGTCGTCAGTGAAAGTAGTGTATTTATAAAATGCGCGCGGCTAGCCGCTCGCGACTAAACGCGTCAGTGGGTTATCAGCCTTAAACTTCAAAAAGTACGCTGCTTTATGGATTTACGAAACGAATTTCCGAAGAATACTTAACCTTATTCCGACGTGCTGAACATTACTAAGTTCGTCCTTCAGACAACCAAGTTCAAATCCTTTATCCATGTCTGCACTCTTCTTTCTACTAAATTCGAACGAACACAATCCCTCATGCCTCTTTGTTATTTCAATGGTGAAACTAATCTGTTCTACACTCAAAGCCGTGGTCATTTCGGGAAAATTTTAACTTTAGAAAAATCGAGTAAAATCTGTAAACGACTGGCGAAAGAAACATTAATCTTAGAAAAATACTTCAGACATTTGTCCTCATACTACAACAAAAAATTAAAATAAATTATATATGTCATTAGATAATTATTATTATTTATCCTGGTTAGACGTATTTGTTCTATAAAAAACAGTAAATCTGAAAGTGTTCACAGCTCTCATCAGTGACGTACTTACTGTGTCGATTCTGCTGTAACAGAAACTCCCAAAGTTCGGTAACGCAGATTTCCAGCCTTGTCAAATGAACAACTAAATGTTAGAATCCGTTTTTATCGGATAACATACATATTGTGACATAACTGTTTTACGGTATAATAAAATGGTAAAGCTATCCCTGTAACAGGCTGTGGAGGCCAACAGGGTTGTGAGACCTTGAGGATCCCACATTTTCTGTACAATCAGCTCACAGGAGGCCGACCGCCCTATACCCCCAGGAATATTCCTGGTACTCATTCCTGCTAGAGGCTGAATCGATCCCAGGGCCATGGTGCGGCTGGAAGGTTTAGGTCAATTGAAAGATCCAAGGACCTCGTCAGGAATCAAACCCACAGTCTTCCATCTTGTAACATAATGCCTGAACCAACTGCGTTACCGCATGCCTTTACGTTATAACATTTCATATGTTCCTGTATATCGTTTAAAAACCGTTCCATGTTCCCTAAAGCTCAAGACCAACCGTCTGAACCGTGCAAGGCTCATGCTGTCGTTTAATGGGACTCTTCTACGTCTTCAGATACAACACAAAATCAGAATACGTAAAAACAACGGAAAAAGTTGAAGTCATATAGATATTCAATTTGTTGAATGTATTAGTACAGATTGCAAATAAAATGGGACTATATATACAAAAAAGTATCGATATTAGTGTTATGTACAAAAGCGATTTCAAAGAAATCTCTCATTCCAACATATTTTATGTTGGGGCGAAAGGTAATTCTGAACCTCCAAATACTGAGACATCTAAACTACATATATTTATAGTGGATTGCGAGCCCCATAGTTGTTTCACAATTGTCATTCAATCCGCAAAGTGGCTACTGAAATACATATAATATTGGCCGATTCCCCATTTGCTGAAAAATTCACTTGAAACCACCTCTTTGGTGCATTGTCATAAGGAATGGCCGTAGCCGATTAGAATCGCCACGATGACAGGTCATTCTTTAGGTTATATTCATCCTATTGTCGAAATTTCCGAGTTACTCCATAAAAATGGGCCATGAATATCATCCAACATAATTTCCCTATTCACTGTCCACCATAATTGAAAAAATAAACTTGCTTCAGGAATATAATATAGGATAATGAAGGCCAAATTTGTGTAAGATTGTTCAATAACTATGCTGATTACATATCTTCCATGGCACAATTAATTCTAATTTTATTAAGTGAACAAATCTCAACAACATTAGATAACAGGAGTCTAATAAGACAACCAAATACCTATTTATTTTCCTTATAGCAATGTTGTGGGAACAGTACCAAAAATAACTCCTAAAACACTGCATCCATTTAAAGTAATTTTCAATACACACAAAGAAAATAATTCCACATCCAGTAATAATGATGTACAGGAAGAAAAACTACACATCCAAAATCGTGTATTATGATGAAAGGTCTGCGATCATCGTAAGTAATGCGTAATATTGGTGAATAAACCCAAACCCAACATGAACATTTAATAATGGCTAAATCTAAATCAGAAAAAATACCCACTAAAATGTACTTAATATTGGCTCATTAACAACATGTTAATTACACTAAAATCGCATAACTAACTCATACAGCTTCTTATATGAATATTCTTACTGCTACAACTTAACATTTGTAACAGTTACATACAAAGCTCGAATATCACATAACGTTTCTTTTACTTCCAGCTCAAACATGGGTACAGAGATTTCGAACCAGGGCACATTGGCACCTCATAATTATAAACAATGTAATCAATCATTTTAACAGTAACAGTCTTATCAGTACTCACTGCACTCCAGTTTTTTTCTCCGGTATCTGAGGAATGCAATAAATCTGACCAGTAGTTTGACTTTATTATGTTGAAACCCACAAAAATGGTCCCCAGTAATTTCATCTACATAAGAAGTAAACCATGAAAGAAGAAATTGGACAAAATTGTTGGTAATAATATGCCTCAATAATTACTAGTCAGTTTATCACCTTTCTTATAAATAGGTATAATAACAGACTCCTTCCAGTGGAAAGGCAGTACTTTCTTATTCTAACAATACTGGGGTTTTATATCTTTTCAAAAACAACCTCAACCTCGAAATGACTAGGGGTACTATGTACTAACGGCTCAGCAGCCGTGTGTATTTCCATCTCCCTAACACCACTAACCCTAGGTACATTCAATAACTAAAAAAATTCTTCCATTTATTCAGCATGTGGGAATTTGAAACAAGATGACCCTTCTCCTCCTTTACCAAGTTAGTTCTAGGTTGATAACTATAAATTATTTATCCATCTACACAAGTTCTATAGCATTACTGCTCCGTTTGTTTCAAGTTCATTAACTTTATGTTTCTGACATTCCCTCTTTCTCACCATGAGATGCCTGCTAGCCTGTCTTACACTGTTCAGCTTGCCACTCATTTAACTTGGATCCTGAATCACGGATACAGAAGTTGTTACCCATGAACTAATAATTTTGAACATTCTTTGTCAAACCAGCGCTATATAGCTATTAAGCAATATTAGAGTGCCATGGAGTTATCACACAGAATTTAATCCACTTTCAGATATACTGAGAAATAGCCCATAACAAAGTTCAGAGTCAAAGAAATATATTTTTTCACAATCAGGTTTGCCAGATGAGAAGCTATCTACATGTGTGTTTTCCTCTTGCTGCTAACTGTTCTCTTCTAAGAGAAAAAATAGGAATACAATGAAACAATACATCAGCTATTTATACACTTCAAAGAAGTCTATGAGTCAGTTAAAAAATAAATAGTTTATAGTATTCTCACTAAGTTTGGTATACCCATGAAAATAGTTAACACTAATTAAAATGTGTTTAAATAAAAAATACAGTGAAGTCAGTACAAGAAAACATTTGTCTGATACTTTTCCTATTCTGAATGGTCTGAAACAAGGAGATGCTTTAAGAACACTGCTTTTAAACTTTTCTTCATAACACACCATTAGAAGATCCAAGAACACCAGGTGGGACTGAAAATGAACAGGACACATCACCTTCTAGTGTATACTGATGATAATTCACTGGGTAAAGACATAAATACCATAAGGAAAAACAGAGAAGCTCTATTAGCCACCAGTAAGGAGGTTAGTCTAGAAGCAACCTCAGAGAAAATGCAGTATACTCGTATGTCAATGAGTCACCAAAATGCAGGACAAAATCATACTACCCAGAGAGCTAATAAATCCTTAAAAATCTGGTAATTCTGAGAACAAAAGTAACAAATCAATATTGCACTCACATGCCAACTAAATGCAAATTATATGTGGGAAATACTTGCTAACATTCACTTCACAGCTGCTATCTAAAAGGTAATGACTAAATCTTCTTCCCGCATAAAGGGAAGAACAGAGACTGAAGGTGTTTTAAGAATTGGATGCTGAGAATAGTTTGACCCAAGAGGGATGAAATAATAGGAGGCTGAAGACAACAGCATAATGAGGAGCTTCAAAAAGTGTATGTCACATCAAATATTACTAAAATAATCAAATTAAGGAGGATGGACCATGCAGGACAGGGCATGTAGCATGCATGTGAAAGAGAAGTACATGCAAACCTTTTAGAAGAATATTAAAAGAGAAAGACTTCTAGGAAGACATAAACACAAAATGGAAGATAATACTAAAATTAATCTTAAAGGAATAGGATGGGAAGATGTTGATTGGATTCATTTCGTTGAAAACATGGGAACCAGTGGCGAGTTCTTGTGAACACGATAATGAACTACTGGGTTGCAAAGAATCAGGGAATTTCTCCAAGAGCTGAACAACTATTAGTTTCTCAAGTAGGATTATGCTCTATCTATGCAGATCTCTATTTTACGAATATGTAAAAAGTACTTACATTGACTACACACGTCACAAAGAGGCCAAGGTTCTTAGAAAACCCTAAAGCCAACAAGTAAATATGTATTTATACTCATTAGAGACACTGTTAATTCTATTTTGAATTCAGTGCACACTTCCAGAAGTGAAAATAGTGTCAAATTTTGATGGAATACTCAGTAAACTTTGAAAATATAAAAGTGTTGTATAACTGAAAATGTGCTGTACTAGCACTTCACTGAAAGCTACATCATGACTTCAGCCACCAATGATCATATTATCCTTACTGATAACACTCACATCCAACTCTTAAAACTTTGCT